ATGTCTGGATAAGTGGTACCTGCAGGACCACTTCAACTGTCCGCTCTGTCATCGCGCATATTTTGTTAAGGAGTCGCGGCCCAGTCACGACTTTGTATGGATGGTATGACGGAGTCGCGTGTTTTGCCGGTCGGCCATCATGGATTTCTGCTTTTTGTTGCAGCACCGAACCCGCGCTGGACGCGTAATGCTTATCAAAGACTTACGACTTTGTCTAATGATGTTATGACCAATCAATACCTCACAAATGAACCAACACCGATCAGACGGGAAACCCATCTCTCGATGGTAGATACTCGAAATTGAAATCCCAGGTGTTGGGATTATACCAGTCCAAGACGTTGTACAGGCCCGAGGTTGCATCGTTGAAGACTTCGGCTTGCACAGGCTGTGGGTCGAGAATCTGATCGAGGATATGCGACAGTTTCTTCTCAACCTCCTTGCATGTCTGGTAATTCCCATGGCCGGGGCGCGCTACCCAGGACAGACATGAGAGAAAGACGCTTAGATTCCGGATGAGTTCGGCCCGCGGTAAAACGATGGCATGTGGTCCGACTTCCCGGCTCTGTCGGAGGAGCTCGAGTGTCAAGACGCTGGCGCTGGGAAGACCGTAATAGAGAATCTGTACCGTGTCAGTCTTGTGAAGCCACGAACAGACCGCACAGAGTGTTCATACGATCCATGAGTAATGCCGGGTCATGTCCATCAGTGAATCCCTCTCCGCGTTGATTCTGATGATGTATGACAGTACCTGTCTGGATGTTTCGAAAAGTGCCGCCTGGCCAGTGTTGGTGCGTTTGACAAGCGTCCGCTGAACCAGAAAGACCGTGTACAGGTAGTCGAGATAGGTATGAAGTAACGCAAATGACGAACAATAGGTATCATTCTCCTCCACGTCCGCACGAATATCGTAGCGTAGATAGACAGGAGCTGTGTCCCATGTATTCCGTGCTTTCTCAACCAGGCGACTACGGAATGTCTCAGCAGTGGTAGAGTGTTTGGCTTCGGGGTCTTACTTTGATTTCTCCACGAGGTCATCCTGATCACCAGTGCCGAGCGCCAGTTCAAGCGCCTCTTCCCGGAAGATGGCGAGCAGGAATCGAAGGCGAATTAGTGTAACGGGGTGGGCGGTCCCATAAACATGCCATCCTGCCTTGTCCAGATCCGATATTGCTTGCGTCATAGTGCTCCCGCCCGCAAGTAGTATTTCATGACTGATATCCATCGGAGGAGTCAATGTGCAGTATCGGTAATTGATGAGGGGCGGTCGGCCCACGAATGTAGCAAGCGACTTGTCTGCGTAGAATGCCGAAGCAAAGCAGACTCTTCTCCATTGCCGTAGGAACCATGGGCAGTCGTCGGTCTGAGTGCTCTCTTGATGAAGACCGGCAGCGTAGATCGTGGCCGACAAATCACCCAGTCGACGCCAAGCTTGATAACCTACATAATGATCAACAAAACATCAACTGTTCGCAGTGGGTAGTCATACTGGAGTCTCCGTATTGCTGCGTCGTTAACATTACGTCGTTGTATTGGTAGAAGCCCAGGAGTTCATTCACCGACGATGCCTGATCGCAGAAACCGAGGCAGATGCCACTGGCCTCAACGATCTGAGCGCGTAGTCGATCTTTGGCCTCGCTATCAGGCGCTGCTTGAGTGAAATCAGGATCGCTGTCAGGCATGGACATCAACGCTATTCCGGTAATCGCAAAGATATTCCCCAGGGCTTCCCATCGGGAGTTCCTCCCAGTAAATGACGATAAGTACTGCTCCACGGTCATCGAACCATGAACGGTCAGCGGGCGAGAGGTATTTTGAAAAATCTGATTGACCAAATCTTGAAACTGAGATTCGAAGTCATTTGCGTCTAAACTGTCAAATACCCTTCGGATGGACTCAAGGATCGAATAAATAACGATCTTCGGCACGATGGTAATCACCGTCTGAGCATGGTACTTGCGAATCATGATATCGCAGACCGGAAGATCATAGAGCAATTTGAGCACCTCCGAGCCCATTTGCAATCGATCCGAATCAACAGAGCGAGTGGATACTGCAGCTGCGGAACTATTGTCTACTTCAAATGGGATGTCACTGCGATGCTCGGCAAGAACAGCTGAATAGCTGGTCGACCCAAGGTATCCAGGAAGGGCCGATGGCGGCCCCAGAGTCGTACGGAGCCGACTATGTTCACGATTTGACCCAGGACTTGAGGCACTACGAACAGTCAGACTCTACCATGAATGCGCATCATCATCAGCCGGGATCACATGAAAGGGTTCTGACTTTGAACTTGGCTGGCTCGTCAATCTCCTTGATGCTTCGATGGGGCTGGCTCGCCCGGCGACTGTTCGCTTTGTCATTGGGGCAGGATGATAGAAGCATCGGCTAGTGATGTTCTTTGCCGTACAGCGGCCACACACCGGTCTCCCATGATCACAGCGCAGTTTCGCTTTGCGACATGGTTCGCAGGACTGGAGCGTTCCATTGCGACGGACTGCCGGCGATCGGGTTTGTCCTGTGATTTCGACCATCCTCGACAACTTGAAAGTATCTTCCGCGAAAAAAGTCTGGTGTCCATGAGATCATCACAACATTTTCAAGTTGAAGGCTAAGTTCGAGAGTTGATTGAATATGCATCAGAAAGGATTATGGTCAGAGTGAAACATGGTCATGTTGGCAAAAGTGGGCCTCAGGCCGTCTAGCTCAATGAGGTTAGCGTGGTCGATATAGATCTCTATCAACTAATCCTATAGCAATTCTTTGAAGGCATCCTCTTATGAATGTGTAGAACATGAAACACAGTAGTATATCTTCTCTTGGAAATATTGACTTTATGCATCATTCCTTTGCTCGAATTGTTCGCACTAGTAATGCTGAGGATGCAGGCTCTAGCACACAATCTATCGCTAAAATAAACACAACTCCACTCGCTCGAGTATACCCCTTGAAGCGCATGTTACATTAACGTCGACCTCAACAATCCACTGAAGCCTTGGGGGTGGATATTTCGCCCACATCTCCACCTGAGGAGTTCACTCTGTGATCAATCCAATAAGTGTGGGAAACTGGCTCGCAGGCAGTTATGGAAACCTTGATGCCCCAGGATAGTCTCTCAGGACTTGTCCGTCCGATCTTCAGGCGGCCAGCTGTGAAATGTTACATTTGTTTCCACATCCCTGCCTTCCCAGTGGTCAATAAAATCAATGTCATCCGGATTGAAACCCCAAGCTTGCGCAACTCTCTCATCGGGTTTATAACCTGTAGCCGATGCCCAAGTTACCGTCCTCCTCCCACTGACCTGATCGGTAGAGAAGTCAAAGGTAGACTGTCCGTCAGCAAGAACTAGGAGTCTGATCGTCTTTAATAGTGGCATATGCTGTGCCGCATAGCCCATGGCAATAAAGACACGATGGAAGTGCTCAAAGTTCATCAGCGTGCGGTCGTATGGCGATTCCTCAATAAGTCGAATGTCTTCCCAATCTGGAGCCTCGAGATTGGGCACTTCGGTCTTCTTACAATCATCAGGGTCGAAGAGCCATTCCCCTAATAAAATATGGTATCAGCTTTTGGGATTGAAAATACGGATTTTGTGTCTGGTTAGCATAACATGAGTTAGGGAAAGAAGTTTTACCTGAGGGAAGGCAGTCTGGTATTTCATCAAACCCGATTATTTCGAGATAGGGCCAATGCAGCGATGCTCCACAGCCTGTTGGTTTGCCCTGTTTATCCAGTGGCCAGAAGAAATCGGAGGTGATGGCCACGTGGGGCATCTTCAGTTCTCGGAGATGGAGACTTAGGGACTGCACATGCAATGGGAACGTGTCTATTTTGTCTGACAGAACATTGAGGGCGGGAAGAGTATTTTGCCATGGCTTCTCGAGTTGGTTGAAATAGTGAAAAACTCTCAAACTTGCCGGCAAGTTACAAAGTTCCTCAGCCACGGCTAGAAAAAGAAGTCAGTTATGGATATTTACTGGATATAGGAGAAATGCTACCTTGGCGCCGGTCTCGGATGTAGTCCAAATGATCTGGTCGAGCATATTCATCTAGACCTAAATGCAGCCAAGTCAGGGTTGGGCAACGCTGCGCGATCTGTAGTGCCGTTCCACTCCAGATCATATGCCAGGGGTCCAGCCCCGCGTTAGGAAAACAAAGCTTGTCAACGCATGAAACGACCGGCAGTGCGGATGCACTGCCATCTGGGAACTGAGCACGGTAAGGCCGGACAGCCCACTCATCCCCCCTATGGAGTCCACGGAATGTTCCGGCGTCAGCATGCTCTCTGGTGCCTGGTTCCAACTCTTTTTGGCGACCCAGTGCGGCAAGTACAAGAGAAAGGCGATGAGTGTCACTCCAGGAGGCTAGGGTGGTGAATAATTCAGTAATACCTCTCCTAAAAGCCTCGTCATTGACATGCCTGATAGGATTCTCCTTGCGATATGCCTTATCTTCTGTTATGCTTGCGCAATAATCGTCCAGTTGATAGGGCAAAATAATACGGTACTCTAGCTCCTGAATCATAGAGAGTCGCCCAATAACTGTTCCTGATGTGATGATATGAAATTTGGAGAGAGAAAGGATACTTTGACCCTGGAGGTCATCACTGTGGACACAGGTCTGCCTGTAAATGTGTGGCTCAAAGGCGGCCTGCCATTCGCGGCACACGGTGGTGTACTGCGCAAGTGACTCATGGGCTTCTTTTAAATATGCAGCTATCTCAGATAACAATTCAAGGGGGAGCCGATTTCCCATGTTGTTGGTAATAACAGCTGCTGGGTAAGACTTGCAGGGAGGAGGGGGTGGGGAGAAGAGAGAGGAAGAAATCACCTGGGGTCAACCTCTAACCGACCCTTCCACCTATTTTCAGTCGCCCGCTAGAGAAGGGTCTGGTTAGTGTTAGTAGTTAGTACCTTAGTTTAGTTCACTAACTAACTAACTAACGTAATTCCCAGGTGATCTCATCGGGCACAAGTTGACACAACCGGCACAACCGGACCTCAATTTCTTCGCTCCACCAACAACGCTTCCCCGTAGTGGCTGATATCGTACCCATTTTCTTCCAGATAAGCCTTGAAACGAGCATCTTCGGTCTCCAGCTCACGGGACATGTCCGGGATTAGGAACCACGAACAAAGGCCTCCAAGCACAGCGAACCCAGAACCAATCAAGAACACGGCCTGCTGACCTTTGAAGGTGGAATCGAAAGAGTTCTGGATCGGAGTGAATACTTCTGTCCCAATGGCAGCGCCAGCCTTGCCAACAGCTGCTGCCAATCCCATGAAGTGACCTCGAAGCGGGGTTGGAAATGACTCTGAGGCGCAGAGGAAAGTCGATACGCCCGGACCCATCTCTTGAAAGGCGTTGAAAATGCCATACATTACAACGAATAAGGGGAACACAGACTGGATAGGGCGGAGTGCTCCTCCCAAGATGAATCCCCAAACAGCGCAGAGCATGAATCCGAGGGTCATGTTTTGTTTACGTCCGATACGATCCATCAGCAGCCCACCCACTATGCAACCTGGGAGGTAGAAGCAATTGACCACCGTCTGCAGCACAGGCATAGAACGTTAATCCGTGTCGTGGTCAAGTATAACTGGCAGTGGATGCACTTACCCCGAAACCAATGTTCTGAACTGTGGTATTATCAGGCCCGAGTTGAGAGATGATTGTGGATGAAAAAATGCCAAAAGGGTATGAAATGAAGTCATAACAGAACCATGCAAGAGCTGAGAAGTCAGTTACGTCGACATGGCTGACTTTGGATGGTATGCTTACAGGTGCCCAGCATAGGTTTCCAGTACCTCTTCAAGACAAGCATATATGGGTACTTCGATTTGATGGCATGCTTCCGGTATTGTGTCGAGTTGACCATGCGGATTCGGAGGAAGAAAATGAGAATGGGAAGCTATTGCTTGTTGTCAGCTGCCAGCCAGTCCAGGACGCCTTTTTCCTAGGATATTTACTCACCACAATACCGATGATGAAGGAAACCCGCCATACGCCGCCTTTGACCTCTTGTTGGAAGCAAGCAAGAACAATGAGAGATACAATTCCTGCAGCCACAAAACCCTGAATGCAGTCAGCTCCGCGTGCATTGCTCAGCTTAGTTTGTACAAACCAGGTCAATAGCGAAGTCGGTGGTTATCGCGACCAAGAAGCCCCTCTTTCGCCTCAAATCAGCAGTCTCGTCTGCTGCTTCAGTCGCGCTCGCGCCGCAGACAGGATACTCACCGCCGGCGCCAACGCCGGCGATGCCGCGGGCGACAATCATCATCCAAAACATTCTATATTTATGTCAGTCGCTTGTTTGGTGGCCCCTGGAGTTGGTGAGGGCCGCACCCCAATTCCGATATCCCATGAGCGGCTGCAGCCAAGACGATTCCGAGGACCAGAAGTATAGTGGCTGCGACTATACCAGTCGTTCGACCTACTCGGTCGATGAGGACACCAAAGGAGAGCATTCCGAAGATCTCCCCAATAAGATAGGAATTCGAGAGCCGAGTCTTGATCATGCTGGACATGCCGTCCTTGTATCTGATCAATTTCGGAAGAGCAGTCAGTAATGCAAGCTCGAGAGAGTTATGGATGGTTCTAGGATATGCTCACAGAACGGAGAACAATGGCTCCATGTAGCCAACTACAGTTTCAATGAATGTCAGCGACTGTTGAGGGATGGACTAGAACAGATACAGAAGTACATACTAATCTGTGCATTGTACCCATCACTGAACAGGGCTAAACCTGACACAATGACGTTCACGACACCTCCCTGCTTGCTTCCTGGAATATCCTCGGACCCATGTTGCTTTGGAGTTTTATCATCATCTTCAACTGTCGATTTGAACTTCATGCTGATCTGTCCGTCTTCCATTGCGCTATTTGAATCCATCGCTGAGGATGAGCTGACCGGGAACGGGCCGAATTCGAATCTAACAGAGCGCAAAGATTGCAAGTGAAACGAGAGATGTTTTTATTAAGTGAGCTTTGTTTTATACATGTCTAGAATATGTATTCTGTATGGAAGCTCTCGTTTGAGTTGCCATACCTGATCTCAAGATGAATGTCCAATAATGGTCTTCAGAGCTCCCACGGGTGCAGGGTTGTTGCAAACCACAACGTCGAGCTCATAGCATGCGACCTGGTAACATTATCGACTTGGACTTTACGCTTCCATATGTGACTTGATTCTAAGTCAAGCACGAGCCAAGTGGACGTACGCCTTGCCTAGCGCCGGCTACCAGATGGTTGGGTGGGGGGGGGGGGGGCTTAGAACCCCATTATCATTAACACATGGGCATCAACTCACAATGTCAGTGGCTGATAGATTGGCCGCAATCCAGGAACCCCTGTAACGTTGTATATCTCGCTTAGATGCAGAGCGTACAGTTTCTGGAGTTTGCCGAATACTATGTTACATTCATCACTTTTCCGAGGGGATCCTCCTGGCATACATCCTCATATGGTGCAACACATTCCCCACCTTGGGGAGCCATCGCTAAGAGTTACAAGGCCTGATGAGTTTACCAACGGAGAGATTTTGACTAGGCACGGGTAAGGTATTTATTTTAGTCAACTGCTCCCGGGGGTTGATGATTGGATTGTTCTCCCATTGAGACACTGCGGTATGAGAATTTCGAGATGGACAACTACTACTATTCATTGAAGGAGGAGCAGATTCTGTTCTACAAAGAAAAGGGTTATCTGCTTATTGAGAACTTCCTCAACAAGGCCGAGGTCCAGCTTCTCCAGCAATGGTCACAGGAAGTCCACGACCTGCCTCGCACACCTGAAGTCCCGTGGATGCCATATGAAGTGAGACAGTTCTAGGGTCGACACTGGTCCACTAAAGGAGAGAGCAGGGAACTGACAAAAAGGACAGGAAGTGAATGTGTATGGACAGAGAGTCCTCTGTCGTATGGAGAACTTCGCCAACAGCCATGCGGGGTTTGGTAGCTTTCTGCGAGGCCAACGAGTGTTGAGCGTGCTCGAGCAGCTGGCCACTGAGGAAATGATTCTCTTTAAAGAAAAGATCAATTACAAGCTTGCAGGAAGCGGTATGCTACTCCAACGTTGCAATCTAAATTGGACAATCATTGATCCTGCTGTCAGGCGGGTTTGACCCTCACATCGATGCCAACGCATACACTCACGTCAAGGACATCAAGCATCTGACGGTTCTTGCGGCTGTTGACGAAATGAGTGCTGAAAATGGCGGCCTGGAAGTGGTTGACGGCAGTCACCTCATGGACATTCCGCTAGGTCGTGATCGTTGCATCGAGCAATCCTGGGTTGAGAGCCACGAGTGGACGTCATGTAATCTCAAGCCTGGTGAGGAAATTCCACAGATTCGGATATCAACTGCTTACCAGAGCATAAATAGGCGACATCGTCATCTTCGGGTCCTACCTCGCCCACCGAAGCGGCGCGAACAGAAGCACGAAAGACCGAAGAGCGATTTATGCTACTTTCAACCGTAAAGCTGAAGGTGATCTTCATGATCAGTACTACGAAGATCGTAAGAAGCTGTGGCCCGCTACGCATATGCGGAAAGAAGGCGAGTCGTATGAGGAGGGTAGAGCGCGTTATGCATTCGGTTCGCCGATGCTGACTGTCGACGGTCGTGGAGCGGTTGATGTATAGTTCTGCAAATATGGGACGAATGGTCCTCTCGATGATGACTGGACAGTCAACATACGGACCGGATCAAGCACAGTAAGAGGATAGCCTGTAATAGACATGGACGGCACAGATACATCGCCGAACCCGATGACGCACCTCAGTAGCATTCAATGAACGTATGCAGGCTAACCTGGCCGGCCAGAAAAGGTAGCATAGACACAAAAATCACATGTGGGCAGCGAAGTCAGACATATAAGTAGCTGCATCCCCAGCTCGTGGCGGGTCAACCTTTGCTACCCGCACCAGCATGACACCCCCTCCCCTACACCCAAACCGCAAAATGACTCCATCAACGCCCCTCCAAAAAGCTAACCACCTCATCGACTGCCTTGAAAAGCACGGCCAAGGCGACTATATAGGCGAATCCATCAGCCAGCTCGAACACTCCCTCCAAGCCGCCCACCAAGCAAAGAAAGCAGGTTAGTAGTAGTTCACCCAGCGCCCATCGCTAATCCCCAGGCCAACCTGACACCCAAAAAATGAAAAGGAGCAACCGACGAGCTCGTCCTCGCCGCCCTCCTCCACGACATCGGCCAAATCATCCCCCTCGATTCCACACGCGAGATCCAACTCCGCATGCAGACGAAAAACACCAACCAGTCCGTCGGCCGCATCGGCCACGAGACCCTTGGCGCCGAGTACCTCCGCGCTCTGGGTTTCAGTGAGACGGTCTGCAGATTAGTCCGGAGCCATGTCCCCGCGAAACGGTACGTACGCAAGCAGTTGCCTTGCATTGCCGTTGCCATTGCAAATCTAGTAGCCATCAATTGTAGGAAATTGACACGACAGTCGCAGATATCTCACGGCTGTGGATGGCGCGTACTTCGATTCGCTGTCGGCTGCGTCGAAGAAGTCGCTTGAGTTCCAGGGGGGTCCGTTTAGCGGGGCCGACCTGGCGGCGTTTGAGGCGGATCCGCTGCGCGAGCAGATGGTCATGCTGAGGCTTTGGGATGACGCGGCTAAGGTTCCGGGGATTGAGGGTTTGACGCCGCGCGCGGGGGAGTATCTGGGGATGATTGTGGGGCATCTGGAAAGGGTGGCTGGAGCCGACTAACTATACATGTTGATGGATGATTTGTGAAGCGATGACCGAACATGGTCATTGATTAGGGATGTCTTGGTGGTATTGCGGCTTCCTGTAGACTAGACTTGGATCGTCACCTGCTCCGGTGGTCGAGTATATGACTACGGAGGAAAGATGGAGAATTCTCATGATTATGCATGTCGTTGCTCAAAGCATAAGGCTTGTGGTAATTCGTTCATGCAACGGGTATAGACGGCATGACGCGTTCATCTAATACTTCCAACGCAACCTCAAACCCTGTGCTCCACGTTCGTCACAGAGATACCAGTTTCCTCGGCCTTCTCGGCTACATTCTCGGGCAGAGTGCCCAGGGCGCGGCCGCCGAAGAGCAAATCAATCTCTTCCAGAGACTTCTGCTTGGTTTCCTTGAAGAAGAAGTAGATGACAGGCAGCGTAATGCAAATGTCTAGACAAGATAAAGTTAGTCCGTTCCAAGAAAATAACGCCCTTGTTTGGATAGAGCAAACTTACTCCATGCTACGAAAACAAAGTAGAACTTCCATCCAAGCTTGCCCAGAGCAATGGGAGAGACTTGGGCCCAGAGAGTAGCTACGGCCCAGTTACCGATACCCGTCGCAAAGGCGTTTCCTTTACCACGAATCTGCATAGGCATGACCTCGGACATGTAGACCCTTGATTGCAAAATCAGCTAGCGTCGTCGAAGAGTAGAGTGATGAGAATACTTACCAACTGCAAGGGCCAAAGGACAGGGAAAAGATAATGGTCACGCAGAAGAGGAATGCAACACCACCGATACTGTAGCCATGGCGGCTACCATCCTCATTCTGCGAGTTCAATGCTGCTTCACAGATTAAGGCAATGGAAATTCCGATAGCACCAAACATCATGGGCCGGCGCCGTCCTACCCTGTCCAGAATGAAGATGATGAAGAACAAGTTCGTGAGAGGACCAACGCAGTTGTAAATACCGGCAACCAGCGTGGCTCTGTTCCCTGTGATACCGAGTGCTTCATACATAATTGTTTGGTAGTAGCCGATCACGTTGACACCGGTAAATTGAGTGAAGACCTGCACGGCGACACCATGCCTATGATATATAGTTAGCAACGGCGGTCATATCAGGAGGGTTGACGGCCGGGTGGCGGCCCTGGGGAGGGCGTACATTAACCTGGTCCGCCATTGAGGGACTTGGAACATGATGAGCCAGCCAGGCGCCGTAACAGCCTTCTCGGCATCAATAGTCGCTCTGATTTCGGTGTATTCGTTCTGAATCCAGTCGTCATTGGTACCGTTGTAGTGCAATTTCTTCAAAATCCTCATCGCCTCGTCGTACTTCTCGGTCTCGACCAAGTATCGAGGGGACTCTGGCATGAAAAGCATGCCAATAGCGAGAAGCAGAGCAGGGACGGCCTGAAACGCCACGGGGAATCGCCATTGGAACTGACTCGTGTCTTTTGCGTGAAGTGATCCGTAACCCACCCATCTAGCGGATGTCAGCAATTCCCTCGACATCACAACGGGAAGACCATCACGTACGTGCTGACGATGAAACCAACACCAATCATTTGTTGCGCCAGCCCAACTATCAAACCACGAGAGCGAGGATGGGCACACTCGGCCTGGTAGACGGGAACGGACATGGACATGAGACCGACGGCCCATCCTGCCAGGATACGACCGACGAGAATCATGGCCAGGTTCATTGCCGCAGCCTGAAGAATAGCACCGACGAGGCAGATAAGAGCACCCATCTGGATGGTGAATTTACGCCCGAACCGATCCATCGTCAGACCTCCCTGAAGGGCTCCAATGGCGGCTATCGCAGTCATCCGTCAGTGAATGAGCAGAACTGCAGCAGGAAAGGGAAGACATACCGCCTCCATTGAATGTACTGTTAATGGCCCCGATAATGTTGGATGTCTTGGTGGTGTTGAAGAAGGCGAGGAAATTAGGGCTCGCGATAACATCGGTCATCACACCAGCGTCGTATCCTTTTAATATGCGACTTAGCCAGAAACTCGGATAGAGTGGATGTAAAAACGTGTGTTTTTGCAACTGAGAAGAAGACAAAGGCGTCTCAAACCCCACAATCCACACAAAAAAGGGGTCAAAAAGTATCATTGCTGAACGTACCAAAGAGAAACGATCCAGTAGCTGCAAAAGCAGCCAGACTGATGGTGAAAAGGCGGCCCATTTTGCTACACTCAAAGACAACAATACTAAGGACCAGCAAGAAGCGGAGTGCACCTAGGGAGCAAAACCGGCTGGCCGGCGGGGGAGCAAGCCATCTCTATATAAAATTTAGATTCAGCCATTCGCGACGAGCCATCGAATAGTGAAAAGGCTTGTATGCCAACTTGAGAGCACAGCAAAGGGCACGCGGGGATAGAACCTCCAGATCCGGGGATTGCGGGTTAAAGATCCAAGCTAAGACTTTCAGCAACCGACAATTCAGCCGGACAGTCCACTCGAGGTACTCGCTTGCTGCTCTGACACTCTTGCGGCAGGGAAGAATGATGTGGTGTGATTGGTGCAATAAATAACAGTGAGACTAGACAACTGACATTTATCCTCTCGTGTTCCTATTGATCGAACAACCATCCCAAGCCAGGTATATCAAGGAGATTTCTCCGTCCAGACTATCGTCGACCAAGCCAAGCAACCACATGTTTTCAAGGCTGGCGTGCGCCATTGTCACTTTACACTCGAGCCCGGTGGCATGACCTAGTTTTGAGTTAGGTTCTACTTGGACAATGCGAATCTAGGTGATTGAATTCCGTACTTCCTGGCTACGGAGAAAGCAGAGAGATCCGCTCAGCGGCTGATCAAGCCGAATTCCTAGTTGCAAAAGAGCAGAAACATGCTTTGGTTACTATAACATGTAGACAGATTTTGAAGATCATCTGACTGGCACCGTGAACATAGTGTGGTTCAGGTCCCCAGTCCCTCAGTGATAAGACCATGAGAAACTAGATCTTACTAGGTAAGGGCTGAGCACCTACCAAGGCCAAGTCATGTACTCAAGGGCGTGACCTGCCTGTATATCACGTGACTAGAATTGTCCGGGTAGCACGTGACAACGCGTCGAGCGCGTTGGCTGGCTTCCCGCGCTAGACACGCTCAGCTTTCCGTCTGGTGTAACTTGTGACAGAAAGCTTCGTCGGTGGAAAAATGCCACAGCAGTAAGAAAAATGAGCACTAGATCAGCTGCTCACAATTTGAATGCGCTTCCAGGCAACGCGCATTCATAAAAGCTGAAGCCCATCGGTTTCAATTGGTAGCATATGACTCCTTATTGTGGTATCCTTGCCTCGGTCTTCTACGCAGTGGAATAAGACAGCGTCGTGATCCCAATACAATGTCTTATGCGCCTGACGTTGATACCTGTAATGCCAGAGTCTGTGGGCAATACGTCAGGTCAACAAGTAACCGGACGAGTGGAAGTCTCACACGTAACAATCTGTCAACAGTAAGGCAGTGAAGGATGACCCCTCACTGATGCAATAGGCTTGTGTATAGAACTAGAGGTCAATACCTTATCAGCCTGCGCATTCTTCATGTTGGCGACGAAGGATCAATTGGACCCAAATCAGGACCTGTGGAATCTGTGGACGCCAAAAGACACCTCGTGTGGGCGGGCTGGATCGGCCGGACTACCGAGCGGGCGTATAGTAAGGCACCTTGGGACTACTTACGGCCGTACTACAACGCCTCCACGCTGTGCAGTCCGCGTCCACATCGCGACGCGATTAGATGGAGCGCTTTTTTCCCACCGCACCACTAAGAGATCTAGTCCACTCCGGATCTCTCATCCAATTCCCAGTTTTCCTCCATATCAATGTTCTGATCCTTTGTATTCTACGGCTCTCTTTTCCGTTACTGCTCTTATATTGGCTTCCAATTCCCCATGCCACACCGATCTTGAATCCTATCGACCGGTTGCAGTGTTGAGAACATGTCGGATCCCGAGCGTTCTGCTGCGGCATGTTCCTCCTCCCCGCCAACCGTACAGACTCCTGAATCTGCTACTTTGAACTATGCCTTCCTCGTGCACTCCCAAAAGACCCTCACCCAGAACCTTCCCCCGCGAGTCGACAACAAGCTGCTTGCTCGTCAGAAGCGCCGTCGGACAAGGTATATAGGAGCTCAATTCGAATCCGAAGTCGTCAATTGCCATTTGACTGCTCTGCTTGAACCATCTCCGCTAATTTCTGTCCAATTGTTGCCGTATAGCCCCGAGGACCACGCGATTCTCGAAGCCGAATATCAACGCAATCCCAAACCAGACAAGACAGCGCGCGCCAGCATTGTGAGTCGCGTCTCGTTGGGAGAGAAGGAAGTGCAGGTATGGTCTCGAGAACAAGCACGACGCGTCGACGGACACTGTCAGTTCTGATCATGCAACGCTCCAGATCTGGTTCCAAAATCGTCGTCAGAACGACCGGCGAAAGTCTAAACCCCTCCAGCCATACGAACTTCTTGCACCTCGATCGGACGCGTCTAGCCCTCTAAGACAAACTACAAGCGATGACAGCCCCTCTGCGGAGCCAGGATCATCAAGTGGGGGAGAACAGTACGATGGACGGGAACAAGACAGAGATCTTGCAGAACAGCCTTTGGAAGATGGCGTGCCGCAGTCTTCCTATGAGTCGGTAGAAATTGGAGGCAAGGACGATACGGCACAGGTCAGTTTGAGCTCACAGACAAGCCTGTCGTCGCAATCAAGCGACAGTCAAGAGCTGCATGGGACCATTCCAGACACAACGTCGACTCAGCAAGATAACGACACGCCGCTTGATGACACGCAGCTCTCTGCCAAGAGAAAGCGTTCCATTTCAGACCTGCACGGAGATGTCCCAACCACACTTCAGCAGCAGCAGCAAACTCCTAGCGGCCTACAGGTTCTGAAGTCACCACCATCCCTACGTTTGTCACTGTCCTTTGACGGAGAGGCAATGGTACGCAGAGAAGGCGAGTTGACACCCTCTCCCCCGAAAGGACGCAACTCTCTCCGGATCGCCATGTCTTCGGATGGGAAAGCTGTCATCCGTACAGAAGATGAGCCATCCCCATCTAAAGGCCGCATTTCCATGTTTTCCACGAGGAGCTCCCGATTCGCAGGGTTGCGTAGAAGCAGTAGTGCGGTGGTCCTTGGCACACCTCGGGCTGGCGCCATAGAGAAGGAGAAAGCCTTCGGGAGATCTCGAGACCCTCGGAACTGGGAATCATTTTTCGACACCGACGCAAGAAGCGCTTTGTCAACTCCAACCAGCTCTCAGAGTGCTCCTAACTCTGCCTCCCCTAACCTCATGGTTGCCCCTGGTCAGCGTTCATTGACCCGAAGCTTATCAGCAAGACACACTAAGCTGTCAACTTCGACCGTCAACGATTACCTCAACACTCCGATTCCACAGCATGCTGGTGAAAAGCGGCGGAAACTCTCGCGTACAGTCTCCTCTCTAGGCCGACTTGAGTCTGGCCATGGCAATCTCAACAGAACACCATCGGGCGCATATAAGATTTCCAAGCTCCGTGATACCATGAAAGACAAGGATGATTTGGATATCGAATGCGGCGACTCGGACAAAGAGAACTGGATTCCTGGGACCCGAGTCTCCCATGTTCGGCGGCGAGCTGCCTCCCATCATCAGTCTCAGCGCCCAGTGCTCAAAGAAGCCAATGGACGAGAAAGCAGGATAAACAGGAATCTAGCCGCAACAGGCAGACGTTCCCGAATTTCTCAACCATCGCACCGCAAAAGCATCAAGTCCATGCCAGAGCTTGACGCGGATGTTTCAGCTTTCATGGCAGGCGGAGGAGTTGCAAGCCAAGAAGAAGACCTTGACTGTGTTCAAGGGCTATTGTCCTTGAGTCAAGGCGCTTGGAGGTAGACTTCATATCCCTCCTTGACTTTGTCTCTATGATACCATTGATTTCCTTTGTTCCTTTTCTTTTGTCCTATACTTCTTGAAGTTCCTTTATGCTCATGTTGGATGTCGCAAGCAAGCTAGGAGTGGTTCCATGTATGAGGCTCATCTTGTAACGATTGAACTTTCTTTGCTTTGTGGACATAAGCCTCGGTTGTACGGAACATACACCTTGCCCCTTGGAGGCCCTGCCCACTTGTTTGTGTTGACCACGATGATGATGAAACCCTTGTCATGAGATAGCCAGGCGATATTGATGTCAGGCAAGCTGTCTCACTAATCAGGCGACGAGGACAAATATAAATACTTCAATAGAACACAGATCCGTAGAGCAGTGCATTATTCGGATGCAGGTTGAATACTGGGGGGGGAGGTTGAAGTTGGCAACTCCTGGCGGCAAGAAGAATGCAGGATGGACGCACGTGGTCCGCCGGCGGCCTGATAAGGAATGCATCGAAGCGTTTGTGTTTCGTTTATCTAGCTCCGTCTCACTTTGATATATCAGCAAGTTGTCTTCGTTCCTGAGCTTTCTAAGGCCAAAGGCTCCTCGACCTGGACAAATACGTGTTATATATTGGAGAGGTAAGTTTGCATGAGTCGTGCTTTGATTTATGCTCGTATTCTTCAGGACATGGTGTCTCCGCTTTTGAGTGAGCTTGTCAACTGTCTTAGCCCATACAACAGCATTTATGTTTCGAATACTGATCTGTGTTGAACTCATTTGCATGATTGAGAGAGTCACTCGCTTCATTTATTGTTTCATGCTTCTTACGTTGTGTTCTTCGATTTCAGCCAGAGCGCGTGCAGGCCTCCACCTTGTATACAATCTTCTGTGGTTTATGCACGAAGGACATCAGCATTCTTCCCTGGCTAATTGTATATATCAGAGGACTGTACTGGCCGAACTGACAGAGTGCCTATTCCCAGACTGTTCCTAGCAAGAACATTGCAATATCTGAACGTCAGAGCAGTTTGTTGCCACATCGTATTGCCACAATGGGCGGCGGCCTCAAAGTGGCTATTGTCGGAGCTGGCTTCGCTGGCTTA